GTAAAATGCTTAAGAATAAAATAATTAAGCTCATGAAGACCTGTGTCTGTTTTTATTTTCTCAGGTCCTACAGAGACTGTAAAGCTGTATAGCTCTGCATACATTCCTACAGACTTACTTCTAAGGGTACAGTTTAAAACTTGATATGGGATCACAAATCCCCTTGGGCTAGATGGTAATGCTAACATCTTAAGTTTTAAAGTGATCCTGTCTATAGGATTACGTATTAACTGCTAATAGTAAATAAAATTAAAGAGGAATGAATGCTCCAATATGGGAGGGAGTCCTTACAGCAGACTCATAGAGTGGCAATCTCCTTAAGTAACACTCAGTGACCTCAGAATCACCCCTGAAGGCATTCTGGTCTGGCTAGAAAGCCCACAAGAGCATTTCAGGCATGGAAATCCAGGGCACTCGTGGAAAAAGTGTCCCTATGTGGAGAACCTCCCTGGGTGAGACCCCAGTGGAAAGGAGTGGTCATCAAAGTAGAATGTACTTTTCTCCAGAGGGAGGAGAGGACTTCCACTTTGCTTATGGGCTTGTCTGAATACTGATGGAGTTTGTGAAACTCAAAAGGCTTCCATGGCCTAGGCAGCTTATGTCAAGAGCCTCAGGTGATCACTGATGTCACATATAAGAGTGTTAATTGTTAAATTAACAACAGGAATCACTGTGTACTAACTTCCCATGTAGGACCTCTGTTCTCAAAAGAGCTACAGTATTAACATTAATGGTAAAACTTAATTCCAAAGATTTACTTTGTGCTATTGTGTGATATTATGCATCATAAGTTCTAGTTGTGGCTAAGTGTCAAGCTCCATTGCCTGTATTCTTAGGTATTTATTTAAAGTGTATTAAGTGCCTCAAATGTAAAATCTTAGATACATGTCTCTCTGTGAAATTTCTGTCTCATATGTTTTAACATAGGGTCAGCTATTTAAAGGCAGCTGAGGAGATTTCTGAGAATGATGAAATTCTGTGGAATTTGGATTCCAAGATTTGAATTCCAAGCTTTTGTATACAACTTTAAAGAGGCCCTGATGCAGACTCTGTACTGAAAAGTGTAGCTACAAAAGTTGTTATGGATTCCAGGATTTGGATTCTAAGCCTTGTGTTTGCTTAAGAAGCCTCTGACATAGACACAGTGTGCTGGGCATGGGAGCTACAAAAGCTGTTCCAAGGAGTCAAGGCGTTTTTAACAAAAACTCCAACATTAACAATTCCTGAGCAAACCATTCATAAGATTCTCTTCAGATCAGTTTCAGCTTAAATGAAAGGGATCTTACCAGGTGATATTGAGCATGACTACCTCCATTAAATTAGGATTAAACTTCTGCCTCTTAAATATTCACAGGTGAATGCAAAAGACATGCCTGATTATTCCTGTAAGCCAATCAGAGACCTTAGTACCTCTTCAAAGCAATAAGATAAGTAAAGTTTTGCCTTTGTCACATCAAGACTGCTGTACCTTAAGGCAAAAATGCTGTACCTGCATTTCTTCATTATCTCTGGGAACTGTTATTGATAATAAAGCTACCTAATGAGTTATTCTATTGTAATTCTCTATACTCAAGCTAAATGGGTTATAATCTACATAAGAGTAACTTATCACTACCCACTATCTGGGAATCTGAAAAATACGTTGTTTTCATCTTAAGGGGCACCCCACTTATAATTGGTTTTGTTCCAGTTTTGTTTATGCTAATCAGCAAACTTATATGTTTCAGAACTCAACTTCTGGGAGTAACTGACCATGCAGGGGACACAGACATTGGCAATGACCAAGACTGCTCCCGCTCACAAAATGAATTTGTTAGATAGGCTATGCAGAGAATTCCAGACCCATAGGCAGAGCCTACACTATGCCCCCATAAACAGGAAGCATTTACAGAAGAGATAATTCTACACCTATCAACTTCCCTTAGGATTAAGGGATGAAGTCTCTGAGGGGGAAATGAAGTAGACAGGCATACAGGTTAAAATTGATTAGGCTTATGAGCTGGAAGACCATGCCTTTGCCACACCCCTGTGTGACCTCATGCCCCCACCTGACCACATCTGAGCACCCACTGGCCAATCAGGTTAATTAGCCACTCTCCTTTGATAATGGATTAAAAATCTGTGACATAGTGTGTCTATCCCCCCTTTTATTCCTTTTTGTCACCCTGGCCTCTTGCCAGTAGGGGGCTGGCTGCAGCCCTGTGCCTTCAGGGTGTTAGGGTCAGAAAAAGCCCACTGCCCGAGGAACGACTCCAAGAGACTTTTCTCTCATGCAACCAGCAAAGGGTTAAAGATTTATTGATCCAACATGTTGGGGCTCTCTGAACATACAAGGACAGAGGAGCCCCGAGGAACTACAGCATAGGGTTTATAAAGGCAAAAACCGCAAAATCGGGAGGGGGAGAGAATACACGGTTGCTAAGTGGTTGCTAATATCTTACAATCAGCAATTATGATCTTAAGACATAGACAAATCACATCTTCATTATTAGCTCAGGTAACCCAGGTGCAACCTTTTTATTTTTAAGCTTGAGCAATCATGCTAGGGGGTTTTTGTGCATTGCCAAGGGTGATGTAGTGCACTGCTATTGTCTGACTATTTGAGATCATAGTTTCAGACCAGTCTCACGGTGTGGGGGGGTGCTTTCCCAGAATGGAGTCTCAAGTGCTCCAAAATGGAGTCCCTACTGTCAAGGTGCTACTTCACTCTGTTTTATTTTCACAGCTACACCAGGAAGGTTTAAACCTGTAAGCTTAAGCTTAACTTTTTACACCCGCACATATACAATTTTAACTCTTCACAGGGCACATGGCCTTCGGGCCAACCTGCCCTATGCTTCCTGGCCTGGATGCTCTTCTACGTGGCTGGTTCCTGGTACTTGGTATGAACGCAGATCTATCTCTCTCCTAGAAATAAAGCCCTCACTCTCCTATGCATCTTTCACACTAAATAAAAACTTAAAATGTAAAAAAAAATAGAATACCACTCTAAATACTAGTGTCTGATCATTAACATCACTTGTGAAAGAAGTAACCCTATCCTCTTAGACTCATCAAACTTCTCTCTTAACGTGTTCTCACTATCCAACGTTGTATGACAGCTTTTGAACACCAGGATTTCATTTTTTTGAAACAGTAAAGTGTTGCAGTCTTGAGTGTGCTGGAACAGGTTAATAGGGGCTTCAGGTAGCCAGTTGTTAAATTTTCTGGAAGTTCAAGAGCTGTTTGATGTCATCTTAGCTTTCAGCTTTGAAATTCCCTGTGTGCAGGGAACATGTTTCATGGAACGTGGCCAATTGTACAAGTCAGAGCAATTTCCCCATTCTGCACCACACAAATTAGTTTTAAATAAAGAGGATTCTGAAATTTCTTTAGTGAGTGATGATCAAAATTCTAGACGTGTTTTTATGTATGTACCAAAAAACTTGCATACATTTGACTAAATTCATCTGTGATAAATGATGATTCAATTTAAAACATTTAAAATATTTAAACTATAAATCTGAGAGGATTTCAAAGGGTTCATGGAAAATGGAATTAAAGTGTAATTTTATTTTGGGGTACAAAAGATTTGGAGCTATGCATGTTGGAAATCTTTAAAGTTCAGGAAAATTGCATATTATTTAAAAAGTGTATATAGTTTTTATTTATTTATTTATTTATTTTGACAGGCAGAGTGGACAGTGAGAGAGAGAGACAGAGAGAAAGGTCTTCCTTTTGCCGTTGATTCACCCTCCAATGGCCACCGCGGCTGGCACGCTGTGGCCGGTGCACTGCGCTGATCCGATGGCAGGAGCCAGGTACTTCTCCTGGTCTCCCATGGGGTGCAGGGCCCAAGTACTTGGGCCATCCTCCACTGCACTCCCTGGCCACAGCAGAGAGCTGGCCTGGAAGAGGGGCAACTGGGACAGAATCCGGCACCCCGACTGGGACTAGAACCTGGTGTGCCGGCGCCGCAAGGCGGAGGATTAGCCTACTGAGCCGCGGCGCCAGCCAAAAGTGTATATAGTTTTAAAAGTTCTTCACACTGACATAAACTTATCTTTTTAAAAAACATTTATTTGAGAGGTAGAGGTGTTTATATCAATATATTTAAATTACACTAGGTAGCAATGACAAACATTCAAGTTTATTTTGTATACAATGATTAACAACAAAATTTCTCTTCATATTTCTCTATAGCTAAGGCTGCTCAGAAAGATATTTTAAATATAGTGAGTTTCAAATGTAGGCTTACTTTCTTCAGATTAGGAAGTTATCATGCATTTAAAATAAATGCTATTGAACATAAATTACAAAGAAAGAGTACTTTTTCAGATTATACTTTTACTTTTTTTTTTTAAAGATTTATACATTTACTTGAGAAGCAGAGTTACAGAGAGAGAGGTCTTCCATTGCTGGTTCACTCCCCAAATGCCTGTAATGGCTGGAGATGGGCAGATCCGAAGCCAGGAGCTTCTTCCAGGTCTCCCATGCAAGTGCAGAGGCCCAAGCACTTGGGCCATCTTCTGCTGCCTTCCCAGGCCACAGAGAGCTTGATCGGAAGTGGAGCAGCTGGGATATGAACTGGTGTTTTGGGATGCTGGTGCTGCAGAAGGAGACTGTGTCACAACCCCAAAAACTTATCTTTTAATTTCATTCTCCCTGAATTATTTGCACACATACATAAAATATATATAAACATTTTTTGTTTGACTTACTTTGAAAGTAGATGACAATGTCATTAAATTATATTTAAAAACTGACATGCTTCAGTGTCAGGCGTTTTTAGTAACAGAGCTATAAAAAGATATTATGAGAGAAATAAAAGCACTCAGACCTGCTAAAACACTTTTATTTCTTAAAAAGGAAGCATACTTAACCCTAACTGATGGGCCAAAGGAATTGTGAGCACAGCCACGTTTTTAAAAATATGTATTAGTAGAAAGAGCATCACCTCATTTATAAAATGAATTTCATTTTTTAAGAAAAGAAAGATGCATTTTACTAAATGCTACATGTCAAGTGACAGTGAAGTGGTTTAAGTGGAATTAAAATACCAGTAAATGTGTCAGTAAAAATTTCAGTTGAGGGGCCAGCATTTTGGTGCGATAGGTTAGGCTGCCACCTGCAAAGCCTGCATTCCATTTGAAGCCCAGTTCGAGTCATGGCTGCTCTTCTTCCAGTCCAGCTCCCTGCTAATGTGCCTTAGAAAACAGCAAAAGACAGCCCAAGTCCTTGGGTCCTGCCTGCTCCCCATGTGGGAAACTTGGATGGAGTTCCAGGCTCTTAGCTTTGGTCTGGCCCAACCATTGAGGGGAGTGAACCATTTCCTGAGTGAATCAGCAGATGGAAGATGTCTTTTTCCTTATCTTTCCCTCTCTCTATGTCACTCTACCTTTCAAAAAAACCTAAGGTAAATCCTTAAAAATTGTTTTCAGTTAATTAAACCTCACTCATGGTACATTTTATTTGATATTGTCAATAGTAAGTGTTATTACTAAACTTATTTTCTCTCTCCCACATCTGTACTTTAAATTCTCTCAATTTTCTGCTTTCAAAAATCATGCATGGATTCTATAGATTAGGAATCTGAACTTGAAAAGAGAATTGGCTTAGAAGACCATGGAAGCGGCAAATTGCAATGATTTTCAACTCAAGTCTTCAGGTGTCAAACCTTCTGCAATTTTCCCCAAGTCATTCTTCTTTTCTGAATCTGTAAATGTTTTAAGCAAAAATATGCCCATTACAAACTGATTTTAACCAGAGTTCTGGTTAATCAGTGCAAAACTTTAAAAACATGTGCGGCTACTAAGATTTATTTTCTACTCTGACAGTTATTGCCATATGAAACAAATGATGTGCTTCACTCGTGTTTCTGTGTGCTGTGTGTATGCAAGGGTAGGGATGCTGGTAAATAACATTTAGGAACAAATCATGTCCCTTTTTGAGAGTGCCAGCTTACATGTTAAGTACAAGAAAAATATACAATCCCAGTTCATTTCCCCCCTCAGTGTAATGAAATGCTATCTTCTATCTAGTATATAATTCTAAAAACTTATTAAATATTTCAAAAGTTATGAGCCATGATATATGACATATGAAAAAATCAAAGTATAGGTTTGGATGGAGTGCCTTGATCCAATACACAATCAGTACCCTTGGATTATCTGCAAGGTGAAATCTTCAGATTCACATAAACTTACTTACATTCACATAAACTTACTCATATGCCATTTGGGAGAAATTAGAAGTAGGTGTAGAAATTTTTTTTTTTTGTATCTAATCTAAAATTTGGCTTTTAAAAAATATATCAGATTTCAGTTAAAGCTACTGTCCTAGAAAATTTATTTAACATAATATTCAGTTTAGTCTCTGAAATGCATACATAATAACAGAATTAAAATTCCTGTTTAAAATTTTTATTTATTTGTTTATTTGAAAGGTAAAGAGAAAGAGACTTACCATTTGTTGATACACTTACAAATGCCTACAGTAGCCATGGCTGGATCAAACCAAAGCCTCAAGTTAGGAATTTAAACTCCATCTCCCATGTAGGAGACAGGGCCCCAAGCACATGGGGCTGCCTCCCAGCATAGGAGTCAGAAGAAGCTGAAATTGGAGGCAGCGCCAGGTCTTGAACTCAAGCCCTCCAATATGAAATGTGGGTGTCCCAAGCAGCTTCTTAACTGCTTAACAAAATACCCACTTCATGGTATTATCATTGCTATTTCCCATAAATTGATTTAGCAAAGAAAAAGGTTATGTATCCCAAAGTATTAACCCTTAACGCATGATAGCTTGATAGTACCCCAAGGACTACTATTTATAATTATTTATGGTTAATTTTAGGTCACTTGTATCCAAAACTTGATTGTAAGGTACTTCTAGGTAGGTATATATCATATTTATCTGTGTATTTCATAGTACATTGTACAGCAAACTACTCGTGATTGTCACATGTCACATACATCACATATCACACTTTCACCATAGGGTATATGCTATGTGTACACATTTCTAAAAGGGACTATAGTATCAAATGGTATTTAAAAGATACTTTATTTTTCAGTTTCCTATTTCAGCAAGATAGTCAATTCCCCATTCCCACTTTTCCACACACATAAGCCAATATCCTATACTCACTGCCTTTCATAGCCTCTTTTGTTCAAGAAATGCACTAGGATCGGCGCCTCTGACCTCACCTTCTTCTTTCTCTTCTAGAAAGGCATTTATGCACCACATGAAAACCTCTTCTGCTGTTATTCATAATCATTGCTACTGTATCCATTCTGCCTTCACCAGTCTTGTTACCAACCTTCTTTGCTTGTGTACTCTACACAGGCTAGGCCAGCAATTCTTCACATTTTACACTCAGAAATTTGTTGATGATCATTTCATTCCTCTCATAGGATCTCACATTCAGTATGTTTTTTTTTTTTGATAGGCAGAGTTAGAGAGAGAGAGAGAGAGAATGGTCTTCTTTCCATTGGTTCACCCCCTAGATGGCTGCTATGGCCGGCACACTGCACCTATCTAAAGCCAGGAGCAAGGTACTTCCTCCTAGTCTCCCATGTAGGTCCAGGGCCCAAGGACTTGGGCCATCCTCCACTGCCTTCCCGGGCCACAGCAGAGAGCTGGACTGGAAGAGGAGCAACCAGGACAGAATCCAGCACCCCAACCGGGACTAGAACCCGGGGTGCTGGCACCGCAGGCAGAGGATTAGCCTAGTGAGCCACAGCGCTGGCCTCAGTATGTTTTCTAAGTAAATGTCACTTAATGTTTTCTTCTCTCTCTCTCTCCTCCCTCCTGCACACAGCCTCTCCCTATATAAAGTAATAGTAAGAATGATGAAGAAGACAATGGAGATATGATTTACACAGTTTGGGAAGAGGAAGCCTTTCTTTGTCATTTGCATGTTATTTTGCTCAAACATGTTTACATCAGAGCTTCCCTGTTATTTGAGGAAATCATTATGTTGCACAACAAATTGACTTTATTAGAGAGCACTGATTTTCTCTTTGGCTGATTTTACTTTTTTGGAAAGCAAGTACTACTTACTCAATGTGAACAGGATTCTATCTGTGAAGGGTATTTAAGCAGTGTCCTACAAATGGAACTTCTATGATTTTTGACTTCTCATATTGGAGAAGTCCTTTTAGAAAAGCAATCAGAAATGTGTTGCAGAAGATTCACCCAAAGACTATGATCTTTCTTGCCAGTGCGACTGCAATAGGGAATGATCACAAGGCATTTCTTTCCAGCAGCAGATGCAAGCAAACTGCTGTATAATACATGAGCTGGAAACTCAGGTTGTCTCAGATTTTAAGGTTATTTTTATATCATTACTTTTATGTATTGTTTATTTTTATAATTTACAGTTTCTACTGTGAAGGCAAGTGAAATAAATAGGTAGATTATTGACTTTTAATCATCCAGAAATAAAAAAAGAAATACCTGAGCTATTTGCTTCTCAAACCCTCCAAATGAAGAAAATTATACATCCTAGTAAATAATAAAGGCATAATATTTTAAAGAATGGGCTAAGGAATGTTTTAGTAAATTTTGTCTTGATTAAAATCATTTAAGAGTACAAGTTATAGTATTTTGTATGTTCTAACATTTAGGCATGATGTGATTCTTCTTAGTAAATCCATGTATCTGTTTACTGGGACTCTTTAAAGGAGAAGAAACACACACACACATCCTGACATACATGCTCTCACACTCATACACACTCATATACACAGTCACCCATACTTACACACTTACACACACACACCCTCACACACACACTCATATACATGCTCACCCATACTTACACAGTCACACACATATCACACACATACTCTCACAGTCACACATACACACTCACTCATACACACACTCACCCATGCACACACTCACTCATACTTAGTCACTCACACACAAACAATTATACTATCTGATATTAGTTAATTGGGCAGACTAGGATTAGTTATATTTCATCAAACTTTCCAAAAAAACCTTTCAGAGGGAAAAAATTCATCTCTGGATGCCACTGGGCCTTGGAAATCATAGCTACACCTTCTGTTTCATTGTGGGCTGGCAGAAAATAACATACAGCTCCTTGTAGGAGCTCAGCTATTTTTCACTGTGAATTAGAACACACTTATCCATTGTGTGAATTCTTTTTTTTTTTTTTTGACAGGCAGAGTGGACAGTGAGAGAGAGAGAGACAGAGAGAAAGGTCTTCCTTTGCTGTTGGTTCACCCTCCAATGGCCACCATGGCTGGCGTGCTGCGGCTGGTGCACCACGCTGATCTGATGGCAGGAGCCAGGTATTTCTCCTGGTCTCCCACGGGGTGCAGGCCCCGCAAGGTGGAGGATTAGCCTAGTGAGCCGCGGCACCGGCCCCATTGTGTGAATTCTAAACTTCTTACATTTTAGACTGAGCTCCATTTTAAGAACAAACTTTCCCTATTTTTTTAAAATGTTTTCTAATTCTTCATTGTATTAAATGTATTATTTCCAAATACTAAGGCCCTAGGCTACAGTCCTCTCTTAAAAGTTAGAGTTTACAATTAATTATTGAATCCTACAATATGCGGGCATTTATCTAAATTATTTACTTAATTTAACCATCTTCACATGAATTCTGGGTTAAAGGTCAGGAAATGAAGGAAGTAGGGTTGAATAAGCAGGTGAGCGGCAGAGGTTGTGCTCTTAACATCAGATGAATGTGGCTTCTTGGGTAACCAAGAGTCTGCTTGTGTGTCTTAGTTATCATAGCAATACTTAAGTTATCATAAAAATACTTAGTATCATAATTAAATAGAGGTATTTTCTAATTCTTCTATTTTTAATTTCAAAGATTTATTTATTTATTTGAAAGGCAGAGCTATATAGAGAGGGAGAGAAACTAGAAAAATGATCTTCCATCCACAGGTTTAATCCTTGAATGGCCACAATGGCCAGGGCTGAGCCAGGCTGAATTAAGAAGCCCGATCTCCATCTGGGTCTCCCACATGGCGGCATGGACCCAAGTTCTTGGCTCTACTGCTTTCCAACAAGTTCCCTGCTAATTCTATTGGGAAAGTAGCAGAAGAATGCAGATGGAGTTCCTGGCTCTTGGCTTTGGTTGACCCAGCCCAAGACCTTTGTGGTCATTTGGGGAGTGAACCAGTGGGTGGAGGATCTCTCTCTCTGTCTCTCCTTCTCACTTTATCACTTGCTCTGCCTTTCAAATAAATAAATAATGCTTAAAAATGGAGAATCATTCTGTTCATACTTAGACCTCAAGCCTGTGTGTTAAGAACTTACTAAATTTCATATCTAAAATTGTTTTCTAGAGAGGATTTTGTCCATCTTATTATAATATCATATGATGAGTGGTTATATACAGTTCATGTTTTGTAAGGAGAAAAATTGACACATCTCCAATTAGGTCATCAGTTGTTTGAAGGCAGATTGGAAAACCAAGGAATGTGTTGCGCATGATGGAGGTGAGAGTATTTTACTGCTTCTGCTCTCCATTTGTCCCAAGACTAGCACAGCACTTGGGAAAGCAGTAACTCAGCCATGATGAATACAGTAAATCACATGATTACATATATTTGAATGAATGAGTTGGTACTAATTTTTTTCAGATCCCAAGAAGGAAATTACAAGTCTGAAGTCAACAGCAAACCCAGGAAGGAAAGGACAGCATTTACCAAGAGCAAATCCAAGGACTAGAAGCAGAATTTGCCCATCACAACTATGTGACTAGACTGAGGAGATACAAGATAGCAGAGAATCTGGATCTCACCAAAAGACAGGTAAAGCTGGGCATTGCCAGGGATTGTTTTCATTGCTTTGGTTCAATAACCCTCTTGTACCATTTTTTAAATATCTGGAATCATTGTTCTTAATTATCAAAAGGAAGAAAGGTGTGCTATTTAATGATTAAGTATTTTTACCCAGCAAAATGAAAAAATTAAAAATCAGTGAGTGATTTTATGGGGGAAAAAACCCTACATTTATTGAGTTTAAAGAAGAATTCTGTGTTCTGCAATAACGTTCTTTCTGTATTTGTTGGTGGTGAGGAGGTGTGTGTGAAAATATTTATTTGACATAATGATGGAATGTGGTGAGGAATTTTGTATCCTTTCAAAATCTCCTATTTGGCATGTTAGAATGTTGACAACCCCTGAGTAGTTTCCTGTATTGGTCAGAATAGGGTATATTATGTTGCGCTAACACATTAGCTTCCAAGCCTCAATGGCATGATACAAAAATGCTCATTTGCTCACTCTCCATACTGAGTCTCCTAAGTCCAGGCTTCCAAATAAACACTCCCAGCATGGTGGCTCTCTGGCATCTCCACACACAATGTCATTGGGAACCGCAGAAGGTGAGAAGTCATTGCAAGTTCATGCACTGGCCCTTGAATGCTTGCATGGCCATGACCCGCATTAATGTTTCAGGTTCAGAAATTGTCAAATGGTGCAACATAGAGGAAATGATGGAATACAAGGGCACGTAGACCACTCATGAATATTTTTGTCCCATTACTCCAAATATTTTTGAAATTGTGCTGGTCTTGGTAATGCAAAATTCTGCTACTAACTCAGAGAACACTTTGGAATTATTAAAAATTTGCGGATCTCAAATAGTAAGACCTAAAGAGTACTATTACATTAATTTTGTATTAATTACTTCCTAGATCCCCTTCTTGAATTTTATTTGGATGACAAATGGTCTCCTCTTATGATGCTCCCAGCACACTCTTTGTAAGGGCTGTGACTTGCCCTGGGAGAATCTAGCCGACTTACGGTTACCAGTTGTTCAGCTTCAGATAAACATTCCTGAAAGTCAAATGCAAAATCTTTATGGACAGTGCAGTTATTATTGACACTTGGAGGGCTGGAGTCTCATTTCCTCTTTCACTGTACACACCTCCTCCGGGATCCCACTGGAACCAAGGAAATATCAACAGGGTGCAGACATATGAATACATATCTTAGGTGAGCAAACTGTTCATCTAATTTCTTAAATCATCTTCTTTCCTCTGTTAATTTTACATCTCAACCCTGTTAGGTTACTTCTGGGTGGGGAAAATGCATACAGGAACACTTTCATGTGTTTTTATACATTGCCAGTTTGTGTTTTATTAATCATGACTAGTACCTAACTTATGGAGCATAACATTTCCTTCCCTTGAACTTCACAAAGTTCCATCTATAAGTGTACAGCTTATGGCATGCAAGAAATCCTGTTCCAAAATCTATATCATCAGACAATAGTTTCACTATGTTTTCATTTCTAAAAAATTGTTTACTTAAAAATTTATATACTTATTTGAGAGGCAGAGAGAAAGAGAGGGGGCATTTGTTTTATTGTTTTTTAATTTCTAAAAAATTATTATTTATTTACTTATTTGAGAGCAGAGAGTGAGAGAGAGAGGGGATACAACTATTGCTTGCTCATACCCCAAGTGCACATGATGATCCTCGGCTCGGGGCTGAAGCTGGGAGCCAAGAATCCAATCCAGGTCTCCCTTGTGAGTAGTAAGGAACTCGTTGACTGAGGCTACCACAGTGGCATCCCAGGATCTATGTTAGCAGGAAGCTGGAGCCAGGAGCTGAGCTGAACCCAACATGGAATGCAACCAACCAACATCATAACTGCTAGACCAAAACCTATCCTGTGTTTTGCTCTTGTTTAATTATTTCTTTAACTGGGAACAGGACAATAGGCAGGGGGAACCACAAATTTCTGTCATTATAGAGAGACAGTGAACTCCAGGAAAGTTAACTGTGTTTTATATAATACATGAAGGGAGATGGAAATTGGAGTTTGCTTCCAGTGTTCGTAATGATGGCTGTAATACTGAGCCTTCAGTGAAGAACAAAGTAGAAACTCTGTGTTTACTAACCTGGGGATCTTGGTTTTCCCCAGCTATCTAGGCATTCAACAGGTTTCACTTTTGTATGAGTGTAATTCCTTTTGAAAAGTAATTCTATAAGCCTAGTTTGAGAGGTTTTGAAGGTATTTGATATTTTTTCTTTTTTTTCTTAAATGACTTAACACTATTGAAAAATAATGATATGTAAATATGATATATCTACATATGTACACATATGTGCACACACAACTTTATTCACTTCTTTGAAGTCCCTTTTCAATGCCATGATGTTAAGCCAATGCTGTATAATAAACCACTCTACACATTGCTGGATCTTAATGGATACCGAGCTGTAATTCACTCACAATCTTGTGCATCAGATTTGGACTGGAATTACTTGGCCAGTTTTATTGCCAGCAGTACCTGCCTTCCTCATGAATCTGCATTTGGCTGATGGGTTGACTATGAGCTGACTGGGCCTCCACTAAAACAATGCATTTCTCTTGCATGTGTTTCCATCTTCTACCAGGATAGGCTGGAATCCCAATCTTCAGGTGGTTGTAGAAGCATTTCCAGGAGCTCTGAGAGGGAAAGCTGCAACATGGAAGGTTTCTCAAGTCTTTGCTTGGATCATATTTGCTAATTTAGTTTCATTGTCCAGAGAAAGTCATACAATCAAACTCAGTGTGGACAGGAGAAGGAGATTATGTCATTGCCAGACATTCTTAGAATAATCTAAGCATGGCCTTGGTGGAAAAAACAAACAGCAAAACACTTGAGTAATAATTATGTTTTCAAAGAACTGAACAGTTGATATTATGCAGATTATATTTATTCCACAAATATTTAGGTGCAGTTTTGCAAGATAATATGAAAAGGAGATGAATGTGGGTGGAATGTAAATTCCCAATTAAAAGTAAGTCCTCAGGGTTCCTCAGAAAGAATTCAATGGTTATGTAAAACACTGATTAGAATTCTGAGATTTGCCATTCAGAATTGTGTTTTGTTAGGTAAGTAACAATCTTTTCAAGACACAACATGGAGATTAAAATTGCATGCTCTTTCTTTTCCTTAGAATTCTATATTATAATGCATATGAAAGAGTTCTTAGCATAAAGTACAAAAACCTAACCATCAACCACAGGAGGAAAATCTTTGATATACATGTCAACTAATTATTTTATAATACAAATATACATTGAGCCAGGTGTTAGATGTAAAATATTGTTACATTAAGCTAGAAAAGTAACTTCCTGAACACACAGAAGAGGCAAAAACTGAACTAGTAACAACACTGTGGTCAGCATTGAATGTCACAAGAGAAGAATGACAGGATCATATACGAATATGTTCCTGGTTTCATCAAATGTAAATTTATTCTTATCCTTCTGCACCTGTACAGCATCTTAAGATTCTAAAGGCTTTATTTTTATTCTCTAGGCTGAATTTTACTGTGCTGAACTTATCAGAAGAAATATTGTAGATTTCAACCATCAATTTTTCTATTATTAGTGACCCAAAGACGTATTTCTCCAAAATGCCAGGGCTTTCATCCAGTAAAATATTTTCAATTTATTTTCTGAAGATTGGGCTCTTAAAGTTATAGACATAGATTTATATACAGAATTCTACCTTCTTAAATTGGGAAGCTGCCTGTCCTAGTCCATTGGGGTTGCCAGAGCAAAATCCCATAGACTGGATGGTTTACAGACAGCATGAACTAGTTGCTCACAGCTGAAGGCTGGGATCAAAGTTAAGACACCAGCAGAGTTCCTGTCTGATGAGGGCCTGCTTCTTCCTGGACAGCAAAGGTCTCACATGGGTGAGAGGTTTGGCTGAGCTCTCTGGGCCTGTTCTACAAGGCACCCAGCCCAATCACAAGCGCTCTGCCCACATGAACTAATCACTCTCAAAAGTCCTTATTTTTTCAAAAATAATTTTTTGAAAGGCAGAGAGAGAGAGAGGAGAGAGAGAAGTAGAGAGAGATAGGGTGATCTTCCATCTGCTTGTTCACTCTCCAAATGGTCACAACTGCCTCAGGCTGGTCCAGACTGAAGCGAGGGGTCCAGGACTCCATTTAGGTCTTCTGTGTGGGTGGGTGGCAGAGCCCAAGAACTTGGGCCATCTTCTGCTGCTTTCCCAGGCCCTTCAGTAGGGAGCTGAATTGGAAGTAGAGCAGCTGGGATTTGAACTGGAGCTCATATGGGATGACAGTGTTGCAGGCAGATGCTTAGCCCACTGCACCAGTGTGTGGGTCTCAGACCTCACTTTTAATGTGGTCACCTTCACAGACAGGATTCTAACATTTGGAGTTTGGAAGGTACAAATGTTCAAACTACAGTATAGCTATTCAATTACTTTAATTTTTCACTAATGCCATGCATGCTTATCATGTAATCCTCATCTTGGTCTTGAGTGATACTGTTTTGCAGGATTTCCACATATTAAATGCTCTAACTAAAGGGTGCAAGATCTCTCTCTCTCTTGCCTTCTCCATAACTCTGACTTTCAAATAAATTAACAAATCTTTAAAAAATCTAACTACATATATGCATTCTTTTCACTTGCATTCTTCAATGCACACTTTGAAATACTGTGATTTAGTACAGGAACTTACACATACTCACAAAGGAATATTGTATCAAACCTCATACTGATCAATGTTTTCCTTCACTTAAATAGGATCCTCTAAATCTAACAAATGCTTGTCTTGACTTTGCCAAAGCTTTTCAAGATGTAAGTACAAAGAAATTCTATCCTGCAAATGGGAAAAACAATAAGTGTTAACTCATCTAGCTCCATGGTAGGATTGTTTAAGAGAAATAATTTTCTCTTAAATGACAACTGACTTTAAAATCAAAACTAGTCTTTGACATGTTTTCATACGTAAATTTATTGTGATTACCTACGAAACATCCATTTCTATAACTG